TACGACATGCAACTCTTTGGGTTTCCATTTTTAATTTTTTACTTTTTCATTTTCCAACTTTTAGATGTTTCAGTTTTTAGATTTTGCAATTTCACGAATTTTCTATTTTTCGATTTTTCAATTCGTCAATTCTTGATTTTTTCGATTTATCATTTTTCTATTTTCAACGTGAAATTTTTCAGTTGTTCGTTTATACAATTTTTGATTGCAATTTTTCTAGTTTTCATTTTAAAAATTTAATAATAATTATAGTTTTCAAATAAATTCACCTTTTCAATTTTACAATTTTAGAATTAATTATTGGATTTTAAAATATTTTCGTTTATTCAATTTTTCGATTTCACAATTTTGAGGATTCTGTCATTTTCCCATTTTGCAATTTTTGGGTCTTCCAATTTTTCGATTTTTCAACTTTTCGGCTAAAAACGTGAAAAAATTGAAAAATCAAAATGAAAAAACGAAAAAGCATAAAAGAAAATCTAAAAATTGGAAAAAGAAAACTTGAAAAATTGAAGAAACGAAAAACTAAAAATCGAAATTTTGAAACATTAAGGAATCGGAAAATCGGATAGTTCTAAATCCAAAAATTGCGAAATTGAAAAATTTCAAAAATTGGAAAATCGACGAATTAAATTAAATTTTTTACTTTTTCATTATCCAACTTTTAGATGTTTCAGTTTTTAGACTTTGCAATTTCAGGAATTTTCTATTTTTCGATTTTTCAATTTGTCAATTCTTGATTTTTTCGATTTATCATTTTTCTATTTTCAACGTGAAATTTTTCAATTGTTCGTTTATACAATTTTTGATTGCAATTTTTCTAGTTTTCATTTTAAAAATTTAATAATAATTATAGTTTTCAAATAAATTCACCTTTTCAATTTTACAATTTTAGAATTAATTATTGGATTTTAAAATATTTTCATTTATTCAATTTTTCGATTTCACAATTTTGAGGATTCTGTCATTTTCCCATTTTACAATTTTTGGGTCGTCCAATTTTTCGATTTTTCAACTTTTCGGATAAAAAAGTGAAAAAATTGAAAAATCAAAATCAAAAAACGAAAAAGCATAAAATGAAAATCTAAAAATTGGAAAAAAAAACTTGAAAAATTGAAGAAACGAAAAACTAAAAATCGAAATTTTGAAACATTAAGGAATCGGAAAATCGGATAGTTCTAAATCCAAAAATTGCAAAAGTGAAAAATTTCAAAAATTGGAAAATCGACGAATTAAATTAAATTTTTTACTTTTTCATTATCCAACTTTTAGATGTTTCAGTTTTTAGATTTTGCAATTTCAGGAATTTTCTATTTTTCGATTTTTCAATTTGTCAATTCTTGATTTTTTCGATTTATCATTTTTCTGTTTTCAACGTGAAATTTTTCAATTGTTCGTTTATAGAATTTTTGATTGCTTTTTTTCTAGTTTTCACTTTAAAAATTTAATAATAATCATAGTTTTTAAATAAATTCACCTTTTCAATTTTACAAATTTAGAATTAATTATTGGATTTTAAAATATTTTCATTTATTCAATTTTTCGATTTCACAATTTTGAAGATTCTGTCATTTTCCCATTTTACAATTTTTGGGTCTTCCAATTTTTCGATTTTTCAACTTTTCGGATAAAAAAGTGAAAAAATTGAAAAATCAAAATGAAAAAACGAAAAAGCATAAAATGAGAATCTAAAAATTGGAAAAAAAAACTTGGAAGATTGAAGAAACGAAAAACTAAAAATCGAAATTTTGAAACATTAAGGAATCGGAAAATCGGATAGTTCTAAATCCAAAAATTGCAAAATTGAAAAATTTCAAAAATTGGAAAATTGACGAATTAAATTAAATTTTTTACTTTTTCATTATCCAACTTTTAGATGTTTCAGTTTTTAGATTTTGCAATTTCACGAATTTTCTATTTTTCGATTTTTCAATTTGTCATTTCTTGATTTTTTCGATTTATCATTTTTCTGTTTTCAACGTGAAATTTTTCAATTGTTCGTTTATACAATTTTTGATTGCAATTTTTCTAGTTTTCACTTTAAAAATTTAATAATAATCATGGTTTTCAAATAAATTCACCTTTTCAATTTTAGAAATTTAGAATTAATTATTGGATTTTAAAATATTTTCGTTTATTCAATTTTTCGATTTCACAATTTTGAGTATTTTGTCATTTTCCCATTTTGCAATTTTTGGGTCTTCCAATTTTTAGATTTTTCAACTTTTCGGATAAAAAAGTGAAAAAATTGAAAAATCAAAATGAAAAAACGAAAAAGCATAAAATGAAAATCTAAAAATTGGAAAAAAAAACTTGAAAAATTGAAGAAACGAAAAACTAAAAATCGAAATTTTTAAACATTAAGGAATCGGAAAATCGGATAGTTCTAAATCCAAAAATTGCAAAATTGAAAAATTTCAAAAATTGGAAAATTGACGAATTAAATTAAGTTTTTTACTTTTTCATTATCCAACTTTTAGATGTTTCAGTTTTTAGATTTTGCAATTTCACGAATTTTCTATTTTTCGATTTTTCAATTTGTCAATTCTTGATTTTTTCGATTTATCATTTTTCTATTTTCAACGTGAAATTTTCCAATTGTTCGTTTATACAATTTTTGATTGCAATTTTTCTAGTTTTCATTTTAAAAATTTAATAATAATTATGGTTTTCAAATAAATCCACCTTTTCAATTTTCCAATTTTAGAATTAATTATTGGATTTTAAAATATTTTCATTTATTCAATTTTTCGATTTCACAATTTTGAGGATTCTGTCATTTTCCCATTTTACAATGTTTGGGTCTTCCAATTTTTCGATTTTTCAACTTTTCGGATAAAAAAGTGAGAAAATTGAAAAATCAAAATGAAAAAACGAAAAAGCATAAAATGAAAATCTAAAAATTGGAAAAAAAAACTTGAAAAATTGAAGGAAAAACTAAAAATCGAAATTTTGAAACATTAAGGAATCGGAAAATCGGACAATTCTAAAGCCAAAAATTGCAAAATTGAAAAATTTCAAAAATTGCAAAATTGACGAATTAAATTAAATTTTTTACTTTTTCATTATCCAACTTTTAGATGTTTCAGTTTTTAGATTTTGCAATTTCAGGAATTTTCTATTTTTCGATTTTTCAATTTGTCAATTCTTAATTTTTTCGATTTATCATTTTTCTATTTTCAACGTGAAATTTTTCAATTGTTCGTTTATACAATTTTTGATTGCAATTTTTCTAGTTTTCACTTTAAAAATTTAATAATAATCATAGTTTTCAAATAAATTCACCTTTTCAATTTTACAAATTTAGAATTAATTATTGGATTTTAAAATATTTACATTTATTCAATTTTTCGATTTCACAATTTTGAGGATTCTGTCATTTTCCCATTTTGCAATTTTTGGGTCTTCCAATTTTTCGATTTTTCAACTTTTCGGATAAAAAAGTGAAAAAATTGAAAAATCAAAAGGAAAAAACGAAAAAGCATAAAATGAAAATCTAAAAATTAGAAAAAAAAAAACTTGAAAAATTGAAGAAACGAAAAACTAAAAATCGAAATTTTGAAACATTAAGGAATCGGAAAATCGGATAGTTCTATATCCAAAAATTGCAAAATTGAAAAATTTTAAAAATTGGAAAATCGACGAATTAAATTAAATTTTTTACTTTTTCATTATCCAACTTTTAGATGTTTCAGTTTTTAGATTTGGAATTTCAGGAATTTTCTATTTTTCGATTTTTCAATTTGTCAATTCTTGATTTTTTCGATTTATCATTTTTCTATTTTCAACGTGAAATTTTTCAATTGTTCGTTTATAGAATTTTTGATTGCAATTTTTCTAGTTTTCATTTTAAAAATTTAATAATAATCATAGTTTTCAAATAAATTCACCTTCTCAATTTTACAATTTTAGAATTAATTATTGGATTTTAAAATATTTTCATTTATTCAATTTTTCGATTTCACAATTTTGAGGATTCTGTCATTTTCCCATTTTACAATTTTTGGGTCTTCCAATTTTTCGATTTTTCAACTTTTCGGATAAAAAAGTGAAAAAATTGAAAAATCAAAATGAAAAAACGAAAAAGCATAAAATGAAAATCTAAAAATTGGAAAAAAAAAACTTGAAAAATTGAAGAAACGAAAAACTAAAAATCGAAATTTTTAAACATTAAGGAATCGGAAAATCGGATAGTTCTAAATCCAAAAATTGCAAAAGTGAAAAATTTCAAAAATTGGAAAATTGACGAATCAAATTAAATTTTTTACTTTTTCATTATCCAACTTTTAGATGTTTCAGTTTCTAGATTTTGCAATTTCAGGAATTTTCTATTTTTCGATTTTTCAATTTGTCAATTCTTGATTTTTTCGATTTATCATTTTTCTATTTTCAACGTCAAATTTTGCAATTGTTCGTTTATACAATTTTTGATTGCAATTTTTCTAGTTTTCACTTTAAAAATTTAATAATAATCATAGTTTTCAAATAAATTCACCTTTTCAATTTTACAAATTTAGAATTAATTATTGGATTTTAAAATATTTTCATTTATTCAATTTTTCGATTTCACAATTTTGAGGACTCTGTCATTTTCCCATTTTACAATTTTTGGGTCTTCCAATTTTTCGATTTTTCAACTTTTCGGATAAAAAAGTGAAAAAATTGAAAAATCAAAATCAAAAAACGAAAAAGCATGAAATGAAAATCTAAAAATTGAAAAAAAAAAAAAAATTAAAAAATCAAAATGAAAATGAAAAAGTTTGAGGAATTGAAAAATCAAATGAAAAACTGAATAAATGAAAAATTATAAAATAGAAAAAAAACAACGGAAATAAAAAAACGAAAAACTGATATAAATTTGAGCAAATGAAAATTAAAAAACGGTGAAAATCAAAAATAAAAAATAAGAACTTGAATAATGAAGGAAACGATAAATTAAAAACTGAGAATCCGAAAAATCGAAAAATTGAAGAAACGAAAAATTGGAAATGGGCACTCACATCGCTTGCGGGGGAATTTCCTGGTACACCGCCCCCTCGCTCGCATACTGCTGGGGATACACCTTCCTCGGGTCCTTGTGCACCGGCACCCTCTCCTTCGCCCGACGCCCATAACTCCTATCCGAGGAGTAGGCGCTCCTCGACACCCTCCTGCACGACTCGTCGTCGTTCTCGTAGTGGCACGGCAACCTGGTGGAGCCGCTTTCATCGGAGAAGCTGCGCTCCGTCCCGTACCTGTACTCGTACTCCGTCACCGTGTCGTCGCTGAGGACGACGTCCACCGCCCCATGGTAGCCGTTGCGGTAGTGCTTGACCTGGGGGGGCGCTCTCTGGTGCGAGCACGTGTGCACCGGGATCGTGGTGGGCTGCAATTAAATATTCATCGGTCGTATCGCTCTCGAGCCGAGTGTTTATGAGGCCCATGAAAAATTCAAAGTAAACGGGCGGGATTAAAATTAAAAGCGTTTTAACGGCGTCTTAAACTCCCGGCCGAGGCGTTTAGCACCTCGAGGCTCGCTTCCACACGGACTAAAAATAAATCAACACAAACACACGCTCTTTATTCACACCAATTCAATTATGTAGACGTACGGAGCGCCGGCACGAAAAGGATAACGGGACAAAGGGGGCTTCACGCGAATTGCGCCATTAAGAGGGAGGAAGAAAAATGGGCCGGAACGAGGACGGGGCAAGGGTTGAAAAACGGAATTCGCACAAAGGGCACAATCATTTATTATATTAAATACGCTTCGGGATAAAACTAAGCTCAAAAATTTAGTCTGGCGCTGTCTACTGTATTTTTTTTTAATGAAATGGAGTAAAGCTCATTTTAAGAGAACGTGATTTTGATTTTGAAACTTTACAAAAAATGTGGGCACTTCAAAAAAATTGAATTACATTGTCAAATAGAAATTTTTTAATTTGTGTGAATTTGAAACAGCATTATTTCCTTCGGGCGAGTGTGGTGGAAATGGAGCAAACACCACCAGACTGCTCGGCATTTTTTTCAATTAACAACAGTAAGTACAGGCTTACGCAAACGCCGTCTTTTTATGCAAACATTAGCTCTAAGGCCCCCATAACCGGTTTCTCGCATAATTACTTCTAATTTCGTCCCCAAATCCTAACCTCCCTCTTTGTATGTACATACAAATGTGACATTTCTGAGGCCGCATAATGAAATTCATCGTTCCGAAAAATTTACTTTTGTCGCAATGACAATTCGACGTAATGGGACGCCAAGAGAATGAAAAACAAAAAACCGAGATAAGCATGTTTTTCCTCCGTAACGCACGAGATAAATTACCCCGTATTTATACAACATATTTTCGTAACTGATCCATTTATGTATTCCATTTATGTATTTAAAAATAAATTTCGCTTGTGACGCTACTGATTTTTTGCTCGATGTCAAAACTAAAGTCCGATTTACGCAAAGTGATTGACACAATTCCACGGCGGGTGTAAATAAACGAATTTGGTCGAAAAATCATTAACCGGTCAACAAACCGTTTCAAATTATGTCGAATTTTCATTAAACGCTTTAACTAGCCGACAATTACCGTCAAGTCGATCCATCCTATCGCGTGACAACCTCAAAGAGAGCAATTATCCGTAATTCGACCTTCCGTGTTTGAATTTCGGAGATGTTGAGATTTTTTGGCCGCCTTCCCACAAGTAAAAAACGACCACTTATACAGGATGTCAGTCTTCGTTTTATTACCCCGATGTGAAACTATCCGACGAAATTAAAATATTTTTAGACGGTTTTACTCTCGATAAATCGTGGCAAAACGGTCGGAATTAACTCGGTTTACGGAGATTATTGCACTCGGCGTCTTGGTGGTCCGGGTAACAATAACACCAGAGGATAGAGATGGGCAGCGTCTGAGCTGCACTTTCCTTAATTATACAATAACTTCTTTGATAACTGCAGCCGTTTTTCCGGAATCGACCGTTGAAATATCGAAATTTTTAGAAAACCTCAAAAATTCGCAATTCATAGCGATTCTTTCGAAAATGTTGCTCCGTGACCATCAACACACTATATTTTTGGAATCAGCATGCCGAGATCTGCGTCCCTGAATTTTTTCACAATTTTAGACACCTTTTTTTAACGTGAAATTTTTCCAATGGTCCCCCCTTCTTCAAATTTCGGCCAAATTTTGACATTTTCGAAACTTAACCAAACACATTTTCTTGTAGATTTCGAGCTCTAGAACTCACTTCCGGCATCGTTTCTTTGATAACTGCAACCGTTTTTCCGGAATCGACCGTTGAAATGTCGAAATTTTTAGAAATCCTCAAAAATTCGCAATTCATAGCGATTCTTTCGAAAATGTTGCTCCGTGACCATCAACACACTATATTTTTGGAATCAGCATGTCGAGATCTACGTCCCTGAATTTTTTCACAATTTTTAGATAACTTTTTTAAAAGTGAAATTTTTCCAATGGTCCCCCCTTCTTCAAATTTCGGCCAAATATTGACATTTTCGAAACTTAACTAACTACATTTTCGTGTAGATTTCGAGCTCTAGAACTCACTTCCGGCATCGTTTCTTTGATAACTGCAACCGTTTTTCCGGAATCGACCGTTGATATATCGAAATTTTTAGAAATCCTCAAAAATTCGCAATTCATAGCGATTCTTTCGAAAATGTTGCTCCGTGACCATCAACAGACTATATTTTTGGAATCAGCATGTCGAGATCTACGTCCCCGAATTTTTTCACAATTTTTAGACAACTTTTTTAAAAGTGAAATTTTTCCAATGGTCCCCCCTTCTTCAAATTTCGGCCAAATTTTGACATTTTCGAAACTTAACCAAACACATTTTCTTGTAGATTTCGAGCTCTAGAACTCACTTCCGGCATCGTTTCTTTGATAACTGCAACCGTTTTTCCGGAATCGACCGTTGATATATCGAAATTTTTAGAAATCCTCAAAAATTCGCAATTCATAGCGATTCTTTCGAAAATGTTGCTCCGTGACCATCAACAGACTATATTTTTGGAATCAGCATGTCGAGATCTACGTCCCTGAATTTTTTCACAATTTTTAGACAACTTTTTTAAAAGTGAAAAATTTCCAATGGTCCCCCCTTCAAATTTCGGCCAAATTTTGACATTTTCGAAACTTAACCAAACACATTTTCTTGTAGATTTCGAGCTCTAGAACTCACTTCCGGCATCGTTTCTTTGATAACTGCAACCGTTTTTCCGGAATCGATCGTTGAAATATCGAAATTTTTAGAAATCCTCAAAAATTCGCAATTCATGGCGATTCTTTCGAAAATGTTGCTCCGTGACCATCAACACACTATATTTTTGGAATCAGCAAGTCGAGATCTACGTCCCTGAATTTATTCACAATTTTTAGACAACTTTTTTAAAAGTGAAAAATTTCCAATGGTCCCCCCTTCTTCAAATTTCGGCCAAATTTTGACGTTTTCGAAACTTAACCAAACACATTTTCTTGTAGATTTCGAGCTCTAGAACTCACTTCCGGCATCGTTTCTTTGATAACTGCAACCGTTTTTCCGGAATCGATCGTTGAAATATCGAAATTTTTAGAAATCCTCAAAAATTCGCAATTCATGGCGATTCTTTCGAAAATGTTGCTCCGTGACCATCAACACACTATATTTTTGGAATCAGCAAGTCGAGATCTACGTCCCTGAATTTATTCACAATTTTTAGACAACTTTTTTAAAAGTGAAAAATTTCCAATGGTCCCCCCTTCTTCAAATTTCGGCCAAATTTTGACATTTTCGAAACTTAACCAAACACATTTTCTTGTAGATTTCGAGCTCTAGAACTCACTTCCGGCATCGTTTCCTTGATAACTGCAACCGTTTTTCCGGAATCGACCGTTGAAATATCGAAATTTTTATAAATCCTCAAAAATTCGCATTTCGTAACGATTCTTTCGAAAATGTTGCTCGGTGACCATCAACACACTATATTTTTGGAATCAGCATGTCGAGATCTACGTCCCTGAATTTTTTCACAATTTTTAGACAACTTTTTTAAAAGTGAAATTTTTCCAATGGTCCCCCCTTCTTCAAATTTCGGCCAAATTTTGACATTTTCGAAACTTAACTAAAAACATTTTCTTGTAGATTTCGAGCTCTAGAACTCACTTCCGGCATCGTTTCTTTGATAACTGCAACCGTTTTTCCGGAATCGACCGTTGAAATATCGAAATTTTTAGAAATTGTCAAAAATTCGCATTTCGTAGAGATTCTTTCGAAAATGTTGCTCCGTGACCATCAACACACTATATTTTTGGAATCAGCATGTCGAGATCTACGTCCTTGAATTTTTTCACAATTTTTAGACAACTTTTTTAAAAGTGAAATTTTTCCAATGGTCCCCCCTTCCTCAAATTTCGGTCAAATTTTGACATTTTCGAAACTTAACCAAACACATTTTCTTGTAGATTTCGAGCTCTAGAACTCACTTCCGCCATCGTTTCTTTGATAACTGCAACCGTTTTTCCGGAATCGACCGTTGAAATATCGAAATTTTTAGAAATCCTCAAAAATTCGCATTTCGTGGCGATTCTTTCGAAAATGTTGCTCCGTGACCATCAACACACTATATTTTTTGGAATCAGCATGCCGAGATCTACGTCCTTGAATTTTTTCACAATTTTAAGACAACTTTTTTAAAAGTGAAATTTTTCCAATGGTCCCCCCTTCTTCAAATTTCGGCAAAATTTTGACATTTTCGAAACTTAACCAAACACATTTTCTTGTAGATTTCGAGCTCTAGAACTCACTTCCGGCATCGTTTCTTTGATAACTGCAACCGTTTTTCCGGAATCGACCGTTGAAATATCGAAATTTTTAGAAATCCTCAAAAATTCGCATTTCATACCGATTCTTTCGAAAATGTTGCTCCGTGACCATCAACAGACTATATTTTTTGAATTAGCATGTCGAGATCTACGTCCCTGAATTTTTTCACAATTTTTAGACAACTTTTTTAAAAGTGAAATTTTTCCAATGGTCCCCCTTCTTCAAATTTCGGCCAAATTTTGACATTTTCGAAACTTAACCAAACACATTTTCTTGTAGATTTCGAGCTCTAGAACTCACTTCCGGCATCGTTTCTTTGATAACTGCAACCGTTTTTCCGCAATCGAACGTTGAAATATCGAAATTTTTATAAATCCTTAAAAATTCGCATTTCGTAGCGATTCTTTCGAAAATGTTGCTCCGTGACCATCAACACACTATATTTTTGGAATCAGCATGTCGAGATCTACTTCCCTGAATTTTTTCACAATTTTTAGACAACTATTTAAAAAGTGAAATCTTTCCAATGGTCCCCCCTTCTTCAAATTTCGGCCAAATTTTGACATTTTCGAAACTTAACAAAGCAGATTTTCTTGTAGATTTCTAGCTCTAGAACTCACTTCCGGCATCGTTTCTTTGATAACTGCAACCGTTTTTCCGGAATCGACCGTTGAAATATCGAAATTTTTAGAAATCCTCAAAAATTCGCATTTCGTAGCGATTCTTTCGAAAATGTTGCTCCGTGACCGTCAACACACTATATTTTTGGAATCAGCATGCCGAGATCTGCGTCCCTGAATTTTTTCACAATTTTTAGACAACTTTTTTAAAAGTGAAATTTTTCCAATGGTCCCCCCTTCTTCAAATTTCGGCCAAATTTTGACATTTTCGAAACTTAACCAAACACATTTTCTTGTAGATTTCGAGCTCTAGAACTCACTTCTGGCATCGTTTCTTTGATAACTGCAACCCTTTTTCCGGAATCGACCGTAGAAATATCGAAATTTTTAGAAATTCTCAAAAATTCGCATTTCATAGCGATTCCTTCGAAAATGTTGCTCCCTGACCATCAACACACTATATTTTTGGAATCAGCATGTCGAGATCTACGTCCCTGAATTTTTTCACAATTTTTAGACAACTTTTTTAAAAGTGAAATTTTTCCAATGGTCCCCCCTTCTTCAAATTTCGTCCAAATTTTGACATTTTCGAAACTTAACTAATTGCATTTTCTTGTAGATTTCGAGCTCTAGAACTCACTTCTGGCATCGTTTCTTTGATAACTGCAACCCTTTTTCCGGAATCGACCGTAGAAATATCGAAATTTTTAGAAATTCTCAAAAATTCCCATTTCATAGCGATTCCTTCGAAAATGTTGCTCCCTGACCATCAACACACTATATTTTTGGAATCAGCATGTCGAGATCTACGTCCCTGAATTTTTTCATAATTTTTAGACAACTTTTTTAAAAGTGAAATTTTTCCAATGGTCCCCCCTTCTTCAACTTTCGGCCAAATTTTGACATTTTCGAAACTCAACTAACTGCATTTTCTTGTAGATTTCGAGTTCTAGAACTCACTTCCGGCATCGTTTCTTTGATAACTGCAACCGTTTTTCCGGAATCGACCGTTGAAATATCGAAATTTTTAGAAATCCTCAAAAATTCGCATTTCATAGCGATTCTTTCGAAAATGTTGCTCCGTGACCATCAACACACTATATTTTTGGAATCAGCATGCCGAGATCTGCGTCCCTGAATTTTTTCACAATTTTTAGACAACTTTTTCAAAAGTGAAAAATTTCCAATGGTCCCCCCTTCTTCAAATTTCGGCCAAATTTTGACATTTTCGAAACTTAACCAAACACATTTTCTTGTAGATTTCTAGCTCTAGAACTCACTTCCGGCATCGTTTCTTTGATAACTGGAACCGTTTTTCCGGAATCGACCGTTGAAATATTGAAATTTACATAAATCCTCAAAAATTCGCATGTCGTAGCGATTCTTTCGAAAATGTTACTCGGTGACCATCAACACACTATATTTTTGGAATCAGCATGCCGAGATCTACGTCCCTGAATTTTTTCACAATTTTTAGACAACTTTTTTAAAAGTGAAAAATTTCCAATGGTCCCCCCTTCTTCAAATTTCGGCCAAATTTTGACATTTTCGAAACTTAACTAAGCACATTTTCTTGTAGATTTCTAGCTCTAGAAGTCACTTCCGGCATCGTTTCTTTGATAACTGCAACCGTTTTTCCGGAATCGACCGTTGAAATATCGAAATTTTTAGAAATCCTCAAAAATTCGCAATTCATAGCGATTCTTTCGAAAATGTTGCTCGGTGACCATCAACACACTATATTTTCGGAATCAGCATGCCGAGATCTACGTCCCTGAATTTTTTCACAATTTTTGGACAACTTTTTTAAAAGTGAAATTTTTCCAATGGTCCCCCCTTCTTCAAATTTCGGCCAAATTTTGACATTTTCGAAACTTAACTAACTACATTTTCGTGTAGATTTCGAGCTCTAGAACTCACTTCCGGCATCGTTTCTTTGATAACTGCAACCGTTTTTCCGGAATCGACCGTCGAAATATCGAAATTTTTAGAAATTGTCAAAAATTCGCATTTCGTACCGATTCTTTCGAAAATGTTGCTCCGTGACCATCAATACGCTATATTTTTGGAATCAGCATGTCGAGATCTGCGTCCCTGAATTTTTTCACAATTTTTAGACAACTTTTTTAAAAGTGAAATTTTTCCAATGGTCCCCCCTTCTTCAAATTTCGGCCAAATTTTGACATTTTCGAAACTTAACCAAACACATTTTCTTGTAGATTTCGAGCTCTAGAACTCACTTCTGGCATCGTTTCTTTGATAACTGCAACCCTTTTTCCGGAATCGACCGTAGAAATATCGAAATTTTTAGAAATTCTCAAAAATTCGCATTTCATAGCGATTCCTTCGAAAATGTTGCTCCCTGACCATCAACACACTATATTTTTGGAATCAGCATGTCGAGATCTACGTCCCTGAATTTTTTCACAATTTTTAGACAACTTTTTTAAAAGTGAAATTTTTCCAATGGTCCCCCCCTTCTTCAAATTTCGTCCAAATTTTGACATTTTCGAAACTTAACTAATTGCATTTTCTTGTAGATTTCGAGCTCTAGAACTCACTTCTGGCATCGTTTCTTTGATAACTGCAACCCTTTTTCCGGAATCGACCGTAGAAATATCGAAATTTTTAGAAATTCTCAAAAATTCCCATTTCATAGCGATTCCTTCGAAAATGTTGCTCCCTGACCATCAACACACTATATTTTTGGAATCAGCATGTCGAGATCTACGTCCCTGAATTTTTTCATAATTTTTAGACAACTTTTTTAAAAGTGAAATTTTTCCAATGGTCCCCCCTTCTTCAACTTTCGGCCAAATTTTGACATTTTCGAAACTCAACTAACTGCATTTTCTTGTAGATTTCGAGTTCTAGAACTCACTTCCGGCATCGTTTCTTTGATAACTGCAACCGTTTTTCCGGAATCGACCGTTGAAATATCGAAATTTTTAGAAATCCTCAAAAATTCGCATTTCATAGCGATTCTTTCGAAAATGTTGCTCCGTGACCATCAACACACTATATTTTTGGAATCAGCATGCCGAGATCTGCGTCCCTGAATTTTTTCACAATTTTTAGACAACTTTTTCAAAAGTGAAAAATTTCCAATGGTCCCCCCTTCTTCAAATTTCGGCCAAATTTTGACATTTTCGAAACTTAACCAAACACATTTTCTTGTAGATTTCTAGCTCTAGAACTCACTTCCGGCATCGTTTCTTTGATAACTGCAACCGTTTTTCCGGAATCGACCGTTGAAATATCGAAATTTTTAGAAATCCTCAAAAATTCGCATTTCGTACCGACTCTTTCAAAAATGTTGCTCGGTGACCATCAACACACTATATTTTTGGAATCAGCATGTCGAGATCTACGTCCCTGAATTTTTTCACAATTTTTAGACAACTTTTTTAAAAGTGAAAAGTTTCCAATGGTCCCCCCTTCATCAAATTTGGGCCAAATTTTGACATTTTCGAAACTTAACCAAACACATTTTTTTGTAGATTTCGAGCTCTAGAACTCACTTACGGCATCGTTTCTTTGATAACTGCAACCGTTTTTCCGGAATCGACCGTTGAATTTTCGAAATTTTTAGAAATCCCCAAAAATTCGCATGTCATAGCGATTCCTTCGAAAATGTTGCTCCGTGACCATCAACACCCTATATTTTCGGAATCAGCATGTCGAGATCTACGTCCCTGAATTTTTTCGCAATTTTTAGACAACTTTTTTAAAAGTGAAAAATTTCCAATGGTCCCCCCTTCTTCAAATTTCGGCCAAATTTTGACATTTTCGAAACTTAACCAAACACATTTTCTTGTAGATTTCGAGCTCTAGAACTCACTTCCGGCATCGTTTCTTTGATAACTGCAACCGTTTTTCCGGAATCGACCGTTGAAATATCTAAATTTTTAGAAATCCTCAAAAATTCGCATTTCGTAGCGATTCTTTCGAAAATGTTGCTCGGTGACCATCAACACACTATATTTTTGGAATCAGCATGTCGAGATCTGCGTCCCTGAATTTTTTCACAATTTTTAGACAACTTTTTTAAAAGTGAAATTTTTCCAATTGTCTTCCCTTTTTCAAATTTCAGTTTTTATATCCTATTTTAGGCAAATTTCAGTTTTTATATCCTATTTGAGGGCGTAAAATCCGCCCTTTAGATAACTTCCACTCACACACCCTGTCACACTTGTAAACAATGCCGCCCCCACCACCTACCTGATAAGGGTTGCTGTCAGCGGCTGACGGGACGCGGCAATGCGTTGGGAGCAGACGGCGCGACATGTGGATGTTGGCGCCGCCTCACCATATCTGGGGGCCTGCAACACATCAAAACCGTCATTCCCAAGTGTCTTAATACAATGTTCACGATAAAGCGTAAAATCAATGCGGCGACGGTGGATGTCAATAAAGCACTAATGACTCAGTGTAATGCTAATGCACTTTTGCATAATGCATCGGGACTATAATGGGTAAAACCTTCAAGAAAGAAAAAACGTGGCTTAACGCAATTGACGTGGATCATCGATGGATCCGTCATGGCACTTTGTCGGTGGTCGTGGAAGAATCGAGATTTTGAGGTGGTTTTCGCGAGTGCGAGGTGGAGAGCCGATTTTCGTGCCATTATTTACGCTGTAAGTGACGGTTTGCTTGTGCTGGGGATTTGGGGCCGCTTCCGACAATAAACTGCTGATTTATGGGCTATTTCGTTCGCGGAGTGTTTAATTGTCGAAGGGGGATTGGGATTTTTCGGGCGATTTAGGCGGGCGGGTTCACGAGGGGTCGTGGGAGCGGAGCGAGGACGCGGATTTTTTTTTCAGTGGTCCGAATGTGTCAGATGTTTATGGATTTATTTCGCAATTAACGATGATATTTGAGGAATTTTCTTAAATTACGAGGTTCTTTCATAAGTGGGTTAATGATGGCTTTCGGGTAAGGTGGAGGTGCGAGTGTGGGTCGGACCGTAGTTTTCCAAGGGTCAAGTTTCTTTTTTTATTATTATTTTTTTTTAATATTACTTAATTTTGTGATGTACAGTCAAAGATAAATCGATAAATTTTATAAAAAAATAAAAATAAGATAGATAAACAAGACCTTTCGATTTATTACTTACGTTCGCAATTATTTAATACACGATGGCATTCTACGTTTAATAAATCTGACATTTACTGAAGAATATGTGAAACCGTAAAACATTAAAATTAATATTCAAAAAATTAAAACTACATTATGAATATCTAACATATAATCAACAGCTTCAAATTTTTCTTCTTTTGCTACTTCCAGAAGTTCGTATATTACATAAACTCGCTGACCTGATTTCATCAAGGAATGATGTGCATTTATATAATTTTCTTTCGAAATGTTGAACGTTATAATAATACGGCTGTAAACATTAACCGCATCGGCTATTAAATTTATTAAGTCACTTTGAGATTTATAGCCAACGTAGTTACCTTTTCAATATTTTAATAATAATAAAAAAATTGATGAAAACTTGTCTGATCATCCCGCAAAAATATGCCAACGTTAATTCATAATTTTCAAAGTAAATTGTATACTTGCGGTTTATGAATTCGCCTTTATTTTTTACCTTGAACATCCAGATTTCTCGTATAACAGCATTTTACAATTTAACTCAGAAATCGTAGAACGGAATACTCTGAAACGTTGCAAACGATTTAATAAAAATTTTTGTTTATCCTGGTCAAAAACTTGATGACGTCATATCAGAATTGTGCTGTTTGAAAACATTGGTTGAAGGTTATTTCGACAGAACTTCTTTCACTCCTGAAGCGCACCCCAACAAATCCCGCAAAATTCAAAAATTCAGAAACTGAAATCGAAACATCAGAATAAAACTTATCGAAAAACGTACAATTTAAATAGTCCAAAAAGTGAAAAATCAAAAATTAAAAATTCGAAAAAGTGAAAAATAAAAATATCGAAAAATTGAGAAGTCAAAAGAATCTAAAAACCGAAAAATCGAAACGTTAACAACTGAAAAATTTTAAATTAAATAATGTCGATAAATCGAAAAATTAAAAAATCAAAAAATCCAGACATTGAAAAATCGGAAACCGAGAAATCGAAAAATCGAAACATTAAAAAATTGAAAAATCGAAAACTCGAGAAACCGAAAAATAAAAAAATTTTAAAATGGAAAAATCTACGATTTAAAAATTTTAAATTAAATAATGTTGAAAAGTTAAAAAATCGGGAAATTGAAAAACTAAAAACGGAAAAATCAAAACATCGAAAAATATAAAATCCAAAAAGTCGAAAAATTGAAAATTTTTAAATTAAAAGTTAAAAAATTGATAAATTGAAAAATCAAAAATTAAAAATTGGAAAAAGTGAAAAATAAAAATATCGAAAAATTGAGAAGTCAAAAGAATCTAAAAACCGAGAAATCGAAAAATTCAAAAACTGAAACATCAAGAAAACGAAGTATCAAATCGAGAAATCGAAATAGGCGAAGACCAAAAAAGAGAAATGTAAACAATTGAAAAATTTTAAATTAAATAATGTCGATAAATCGATATCGAAAAATTAAAAAATCAAAAAATCCAGAAACTGAAAAATCGAAAAATCGAGAAACTGAAAAATAAAAAATTGAAAAATCCAAAAGGTAAAAAATCGAAAATTGAAAATTGAAAAACTGAAAAATCAAAACATCGAAAAATGTAAATTCGAAAAACCCAAAAACCAAAAAGTCGAAAAATTGAAAAATTTTGAATTAAATAATGTTGAAAAGTTAAAAAATTGATAAATTGATTAATCAAAAAATCCAGAAACAGAAAAATTGAAAAATCAAAACATCGTAAAAATCAAAACATTAGAAAATTAAAAAATGGAAAAATCAAAAATTTTTAAAATGGAAAAATTAAAATATCGAAAAATTTTAAAATGGAGACATCAAAAATTTAAAAATTAAAAAATCGGAAAATTGAAAGTCGAAAAACCGAAAATCGATTAACTGAAAAATTCCAAAACTAAAATCACGAAAAATTGAGAAATCAAAAATTAAAAATTCGAAAAAGTGAAAAATAAAAATATCGAAAAATTGAAAAGTCAAAAGTGAAATATCAAGAAAACGAAGTATCAAATCGAGAAATCGAAAAACTGGGAAATCGAAATAGGCGAAGACCAAAAAATCGAAACGTTAACAATTGAAAAATTTTAAATTACATGATGTCGATAAATCGAAAAATTAAAAAATCAAAAAATCCAGAAACTGAAAAAACTGAAAAATCGGGAACCGAGAAGTCGAAAAATCGAAACATTAAAAAATTGAAAAATCGAGAAACCGAAAAATCAAAAATTTTTAAAATGGACAAATCTAAAATTTAAAAATCGAAAAATCCAAAAAGTAAAAAATCGACAAATCGAATAGGTGAGAAATCACAAAGTTTAAAAAATCGGAAAATTGAAAATCGAAAGACTGAAAATTGAAAAACCTAAAAATTGAAAAATCGAAAAAATGAAAATTTTTAAATTAAATAATGTTGATAAATTGAAAAGTTTAAAAATCGATAAATTGAATAATAAAAAATCCAGAAACTGCAAAAAAAATTGAAAAATTTCATAAACGAAAAATTGAAAAATCTCAACTTTTAAAAATTGGAAACTCAGAAGGCCAAAAATCGAAACATCGTAGAAATCGAAACATTAAAAAATTTAAAAATCGAAAAGTTCAAAAAGTAAGAAATCAAAAATCGGAAAATTGAAAGTCGAAAAACTGAAAAATCGATAAATTGAAAAATTCCAAAACTAAAATGACGAAAAATTGAGAAATCGAAAAACGGAAAAATCAAAACATCGAAAAATCTAAAAATGTAAAAATCTAAAATTTAAAAAACGAAAAATTGAAAAATCCAAAAAGTAAAAATCGACAAATTGAAAAGTTGAAAAGCGAGAAAACAAAAATCCAAAATTTGAAAATCGATAAATTGCAAAATTTCAAAACTGAAATGACGAAAAATTGAGAAATCGAAAAATCGAAATGCTGAAATTCGAAAAAGCTAAAAACCGAAAACATGAAAAATTCATGATTATTAAAATCCAAAAATTGCATAACCAAAAATTCTAAAACCAAGAAATTGAAAAATCGAAAAAGTAAAAAATCCAGAAATCGAAAAGTCGAAAAACTGACAATCGAGACTACGAAAATCTAAAAATTGGAAAATCGAGAATGTAAAAAATCGACAAATCGAAAAGTCGAAAAAGCGGGAAATCAGAAATCCAAAATTAAAAAAATCGGAAAATTGAAAATCGAAAAACTGAAAAGTCGATAAATTGAAAAACTCCAAAACTGGAATGTCGAAAAATTGGGAAATGGAAAAACTGAAAAAACGAAACATCCCAATACTTTAAATTAAAAGATTCAAAATTAAAACATCGAAAAATGTAAAATCCAAAACTCTAAACGCTGAAATTCAAAAAAGACAAAATAAAAAAAAAATATAAATTGAGAAACCGGAAAATTGGAAAACCGAAAATTTAGAAACGAGAAGTAGAGCAATCGAAACATTGGGGAAATCGAAATATTTAAAAATCGAAAAATAGAAAATTTAAAAATTGAAGAACTGAAAGATCGATAAATCTAAAATTTTAAAAATTGAGAAATTAAAAAATTGAAAAATGAAAGAAAAATTGAAAAATCCGGAAATTAAACAATTAAAAAAAAGAAACATCGAAATTTCGATAAATTGAAGAATCAAAAATTTAAAAATTTGAAAAATGGAAGAACTGAAAAATCGAAAAATCGGGAAATCGAAAATCTAACTAAAATTTTTAAAATGGAAAAATTAAAATGTCGAAAAATTGAAAATCGAGACATCAGTGATATTGAAATTGAAAAATCTAAAATTTAAAAATCGAAAAAATAAAAAATCGTCAAATCGAAAAGTTGAAAAAGCGAGAAATCAAAAATTCAAAATTAAAAAAAATCGGAAAAATAAAAAATCGATAAATTGAAAAATTCCAAAACTAAAATGACGAAAAATTGGAAAACCTAAAAAATTGAGCAATCAAAACATCGAAAAATTAATAATTAAGAATCTAAAAATTACAAAACCGAAAATTGTAAAACCAAGAAATCAAAAAATTGAAACATCAAAAAATCTAAAAATAGAAAAATCTCAAATTTTAAAAATTGAAAGGTCGAAAAAGTGAAGAAAAGAGAAGTGAAAAGTTGAAAAATTTAAAAATCCAGAAATTAAACAACAAAAAAAAGAAACATTGAAATCTTGATAAATTGAGAAATCGAAAAATTGAAAAACCTAACAATCGGAAACCAAGAAGTCGAAAAATCGAA